AATCCCATGATGAACTCACCTTCCTTAATCTTTTCTAAAGAAGCAATAATTCACATAATGTATCCAAATAAGAAAATAACATATGATTCATGCTGTCTTATACTTTCATATCCAAGTTATGTTAATGCAATTCATGAGAGGCACACATTTAAATCTCATCCCCTGCACACGCCCCAAGTAAAAAAGAAACCAGTTCCTCCATCATTCAATGTCCAAGCGGAATAGCACGTGGAGTAATAGAATATCAAAACGCAAGTTACAATTTTTAATGTACTTTAATAATTATTTCTTCAACTTTACCTCCAAGTAGTTCTTCCAATGGAAATAATTGATTTCAAGTGCATGTGGAGTAATAGAATATCAAAACGCAAGTTACAATTTTTAATGTACTTTAATAATTATTTCTTCAACTTTACCTCCAAGTAGTTCTTCCCATGGAAATAATTGATTTCAAGTGCCTAACCAGTGAGGCACCCTTTCTTTCCCACTCTGCTTGACAATCCATGAACCTGAAGAGAGAAGAATCAGTTATAAGTTAATTGATCTTAGTTGGTTCCATAACTTGCTAATACGAAAAGAGAACAAAACAAAAAAAAATAATCGAAGGATTTTACAAAAGCTACAAAAATTAACTAAATCTCACATCAAAAGAACCCAGAAATTTAATGAAGAATTCTCCAAAACCCACAAATTTAAACGTAAAATTCTACAAAATCATGAAAATTTTAATACAATCTAATTATATTAATCACCAAATTGAATTAGATCTTCACATCCAATAAGTAACAGAGTTTGATAACATTATGCCCGAAGAAACCCCAAATTTACAGAAATTGGGAGCACGATGGGGCGTCGAGGAGATCAAACAGATGGGGAAGCAAAGATCGAAGAGATCTCACGAAGCCGACATCAAAATCGTCAATCGTGTTGCAGAGCATAGTTTTTTCGTTTTGGATTTCTAGATAAAGATTCAAACCCAAAACTAAGTAATTTATAAAAAAAACTCACTGAATCGATTCAAGAAAGTGCGAAAATTATCAAACCTGATCTTCCGCAATCATCCAAGTAGAGAAAATTTGGACGATCTATCTCTCTCTCTGTGTCCACCTAGAACCCCTCCCGTCAACCCCCTCTCTACCTGCAACCCATCAACCCCTCTGTGAACCATGCCTCTGACGACATCGACCTCTCTCTCTCTGTTCAAATGAGAAAACAACATCACCCAAAAGGTCAGAAATTTCCAAAACCAAAAGGAAATTAAGAGAGAGAAACGGAGAACAAAGAGAGATCGGAGTACCGTTAGTTAAAGCGTGGACGGCGTCGGTTCTCCGACCACTGTAATCCCTGAAGATCTCTTCCGCCGTTCGCCGACTCGAGCCAATCTCCCTGCTCCTCTCCTCCATTTCACCGAAGCGCTCGAGTTACAGAAAAATGAAGGCCAGTTTGAGTGGTTTTGGTTTTAGGAAGCAGGAAGCCGATGCTATTCCAGAGATGGTGTTGTGGCTATGCTAGGGTTTGAGAAAGGGGAACCGAAGCCAAATGGGTGTGTTTGTGTCTCTCTCTCACATCCCAGAGATGGTGTTGTGGCTCTGCTAGGGTTTGAGAAAGGGGAACCGAAGCCAAATGGGTGTGTTTTTGTCTCTCTCACATCCCATAGATGGTGTTGCGGCTCTGCTAGGGTTTGAGAAAGGGGAACCGAAGCCAAATGGGTGTGTTTGTGTCTCTCTCTCACATCCCTTGGTTTGAGGTGGCATAAATATAAATAATGCAAAATATGTTTAGAGACAAAATTACCCCCCTAACTTTGAATAACTACGTTCCAACCCACCCCGGAATCCCATGGTTTTGTTGTAAATAAAGCAAAATCGAGGGGGGAGGAATTGACCTCAAGAGACAAAATTACCTTCCTAAATTTTAATAACTACCTTCCAACCCAGCCCCAAATCCCATGGCTTTGTTGTAAACAAAGCAAAATAAAAAAATTTTGAACAATGTCTCCCCTCTTCTACTTTAGAATAGACAAGCAGCATGAAGATCAAGGGCAGAGCCTCATAAATAAAGTGAAATTCGGTTCAAAAGACTATTTATTTGTACGGTGCAATTGAAGAGTCTTCTTTAGACTAAAGTAATAATTTGAGATAAATCATTATTGAACATGTATCATATTTTAACCAGTCCTCAAGTTCCTGTGAGACTGAAGGAGACAATCTTCTCACCGCAGAAATATATGCCCTGAAAGAAAATTAATAAAAGAAAATCATCTTAATCAGAAAGTCCCACAATCAGCTGACTTGAAAACAAGGATTTAGTAGTTTTACAAATTGGAAGTTCTATACAGAGAACTTATATTCGTTTGTATATAGAAGTGATCAATAGAAAGACTAAAACAAAAAGATAATATCCTGAAATCATTACTGCTGAGCCTTCCAATGTAAAAGTGCTGCAAAATTTACCGAATAACAAATGCTCAAGTGGAAGATTAATGTTTTCACCAGGAGTTCTACGCAGTCTTTTCTCCCCCTTCAAGAATATATATATATATAGCAACCATAGTAAGAGTTTGCATAGATTTTAGACGAAGAAAGTTAGCTTTCGGGTTCCAGCAGTAGAAAAGGTACCACATACGGAGATAATCACCATCTTCATTCAACATGCCATCATATGTAGGTCTGACAACTTTTTGCATGATCTGTTAAGCTAACACGAAAATAATAGGTTTTGGGTCACACTTTTAACGAGTCGGATCATCATTGGATCACCCATTAGAGTTCATTAGCGAATCTGATCATTGTTGAATCACCGGTTAAGAACCTTATCGTTTACTAGACCTAGAGGCCGGCATGACTTGCATATGCGCATGTACCATACAGATGGGAAACAACTTGGTGGCAAAATATATTTTTTCATCCTAAAATCAAAGGGCGCATGCATCGCACTGCTATATATTAACTCAAGTGGGTTTCTAGGGTTGGACTAAATCAGAGCCAGTCTAAAGGTAACGCGAACAGCACATACGTTATAAACTTCACTTCCAATAGGCTTCATACGTTTTCACACATTTTTTCTACATATATCTTAAAGTTCTTATTCATGGTATTCTCCACAACGCATGTGATTTATAAATCATATGGATACATATAGAATGGTTTGAGAGAAAGACGTGGAGTTGGAGGACTCAACTTTCGTAGATCACAAGCAAGCAAATTAAGCAATGAAGTGGAAAAAACACTTTCTTCTTCTTCAAGACCGGCCGGGGCCATATACTAGTGTCGCGTGCCAGTTTTACACGTAACAAAACAGTCGGCTCTTACTGCTATTTTTCACGTAACTTAACTAATCAACTTGTGTTATAAGACGCAAGTAACATTTTACCACAATGGTAAAAAATAGTTGGGTAGTTTCATTAAATGAGTGTTTCTAGAAGGTACAACTTCCTAAAGGCATTGAGTAATGCATTTACATTTACACTTTTAGCTAAAGCTAAAGTTTCATTAAATGAGTGTTTCTACGAGGTACAACCTCCTCAAGGCATTGAGTAGCCTTTACATTTCTATCAACCAGGTGAAATTAGTGGTTTATTGGTCATGACGGGCTAAAGCTAAAGTTTTATTAAATGAGTGTTTCTACGAGATACAACATCCCCAAGGCATTGAGTAATGTTACACTTACTACATATTTGTATCATCTCTCTAATAGAGATAAAGTCGACCAACGTATATGAGTTTCATCTTTATTAAAAAAATGGTACAAATAATGATAAGATTTTCACATTGAAACCATGCATAAGATTTATTTGCATGCCAACGAAAACTAATGGAGATAGTTGGATGTCAAGACACTCAATTTGCTTTCCCCTTTATCTTCTTTGGTAGCTGGCAAGTTCACATGATACTTGGTTTTTCAAATCCACACGATCCTATGTAAACATGATGTGACATGAAAGTTCCAAGATGTCAAATATAAATGTTAAAATTTTATTTTATGAATGATGTGGCTATTTGATGTTGATGTAAAAAAAAAAAATTATTCCAAATGATGTGTTAAATTATTATTTATATATTGTGTGTTTGTTTATTTGCTACCCCACTCGTGAGGGTGGGGTGTCCCTATTAACTAGAGAGACTTAGGACGTGCTTAAAGTGACTTCACAATAGTGGTGAACAACTTTCAAACACCATGCCTCACTTGACAAGGCTCAAATCACCTATTAATTGCTTTAATGCTCTACTTAGTTACAAGTCTTCGCTACCAAACTCGGCTTAATTTATTCTATATTGGACCACACTACTACAACTTAAAAAAAAAGAAAAAGTTTAGAATAGTTAATTGTATATCATATTGATGAATTATGAAACCCCACATATTAAATAACAAAATCGACTCTATCTTAGTTTGCTGTATAAAAAGATTGCTAGAAAGCAAAGTGCCAAATAACTCGGCTATCATGTCAACTATGATATCTTCCTTGGAGAAAGTCTTAATGTCTATAAATCCAAAGTTGACATATTTAACATCTTTCTTTAAAGATGCTCTATAATATGTTATTCATAGTCAAAATGTCAGTTGAGATAAGGGTGGTGCTTTAATCGACTCCTATTTGATCTCAATTTTAGACTCCTATTTGATCTCAATTTTAACATGACAAAACCTTTATAATAGGTTATCGACCCACATTTTAATAGATAATTTACCAAACACAACCTTAATAATATAAATTATCAGCATAATTCAAATAAATCATTATGCACTTATTATTTTTCTACTTTTAGTGAATGATAACTTTTTCGGATGAATTTACACTCACATATTAGCTAAATAATTTCTCTCTTCAAGGTAAAAGGAGGATGTAGATGATTTCTTTTGGACATCTCACCTAATATTAGTGTCACTTTCTCGGCCACTAATCAACCAAGAAAAACAAAGAAAAATGTGAAGTCTCCCATCAGTGACAACTGGAACATAAACAAGTTTTCTATTTAGTATCACTCTCCATTTGGAAATGTCTTCCAATCTGGATTTACCCCAAAAGAAAACGTTTTCAAATCCGCTTTTAAAGTTCCCGAGAAATCCTCCAACAAAAAAGAAGAACTTTTCCGGAACAATCCTTGACTTTTTCTCTGCAAAATCAGCACCTCAGTATTATCCGATACCATATGTTGTCCTCTTCTTCCTTTATATGTCTTCTTCCTTTATATATGTCTTCTTCAAGCGCGTAGACCCGGTAGACAGAGAAGAGAGAGAGAGAAACCGTTACACATCCCTTTATACACAGACATCAGCAGATGATTAAACTATATATCTAATCAGTGATTAGCGTTAAAGATTTGATTTTTTTGGTATTTCAATCGCAGCCCATCTCTGATATCCAGTGAATTTAATTGAAGTCGAAGGATTTGGGTTAAATATTGATGAAAAATGAAGTTCTGCAAGACATACCAGGAGTACATGCAAGGCCAGAAGAAGAAGCAGCCCGGGGTTGGATTCAAGAAGCTTAAGAAGATCTTGAAGAAATGCCGCAGAGAAGATTTCCATGACGTCCGTACTTGCCCTGACCATTGCACAGGTGATTTTAAATTTCAGTTACAGATTTTTATTTCTTATTTTTGGTTTTTAATCTGTTTCTGATGATTGTTATGATTAAAAATTTTAACTTAATTTGCTAGTTCTTTTGGCTGTTTGAATCCCAATTAGCATTCAGTTTATTGTTCATGTCGGATATATATATAGTGTATATATATTGTTAATTTCATTGGAAATCTTTGAGATGGAAAGTCAACATCTTGCATTCATTTCATTCAATTGTTTGAAAATCCAAATGTTGGAGAGTATATACAAGTCACAACAATTAAAAATTTTAGCCAGTCAGACGTGAATTAGGTCACTTGGTTAGGACAACGTGCCCACCCCATCATCTAAGTTCGAATTTTTATCTCGAAAACTAGAGTAAGTTTAGAATATTGTCTTTGTAGGAAAAAGTAGCCGATTTTCAAAGCACATGGAACCTGTTTTATCTTCTAATTTTGAAGGTTACTGAATCCTCAGTGATATTGATTTTTGTGCCTGGCAATGGAGTTTATGCTGATTTAATTGAATTTTGGCAGTGTGTGATGGGAGCTTTTTCCCGGCCCTTCTCGATGAGATGTCTGCTGTGGTGGGTTTCTTTCATAAGCGTGCACAGACATTGCTTGAACTCCATCTGGCTTCTGGCTTGCGTAAGTACATGTTTTGGGTCCAAGGCAAACGTCGAGGGGGCCATGGTGCCTTGATAGAAGAAGGCAAGGACCTCGTGACTTATGCACTGATCAACGCCATTGCCATTCGGAAAATACTAAAGAAATATGATAAGGTATGTGAATCCAACTGCTCAAAATTGGTAGTGCGTTTATCGAAAGTTTCGGTAATCCAGTTAAATATATATGTTTATAATTTTCGTTTGTGTTATGGGAACAGATTCATTACTCAACACAAGGACAGGCATTTAAGTCGCAAGCTCAAAGTATGCACATTGGACTCCTTCAGAGCCCATGGCTTTTCGAGCTTATGGCTTTTCACATCAATTTAAGGGAAACCGAGACTAAGTCGAGGAAGGCACCGGCTTTGTTTGAGGGATGCTCCCTCAAGATTAATGATGAGAAACCATCTCTCGCCTGTGAGCTCTTTGATTCCGTTAAGCTTGATATTGATTTGACTTGTTCTATATGCTTGGTAAGTATCAAGGTTTCCATATAACGGGTTATTGACTGCGTATTTGTGTTGTTACTATGTTAACACTACACAGCGTTTTATCCTACCTGTGAATTCAAGTCTTGAATAAGAGGTTTTGAAAATTGATATGAAAGTTGTAGCACTCTTACAATATCACTCTCGCTCTTCAATAGTTTAATTGCATATTTCATGCCTCTTATGATGTAGGAGCACATATGACTAGTGCATAACACTTGACATTTTTTCCTGCAAACTGCAAACAATGTGAACAATTTTCATTAGCTCAACTAAAACATAAACCTTCAGTAGCTGTAGTGTAGCATACCAAGACATTGGTAGGAGTTGTTGGGAAGAAAGCATCTTGCTATTGTTGCGCTTCATTTGAGGTTTCGTGTGATTTATTTTTATCTTCCGCTTTATAGGACACAGTTTTTGATCCAGTTGCTCTTACGTGCGGTCATATATTCTGCTACATGTGTGCTTGCTCGGCTGCATCAGTGACTATTGTTGATGGATTAAAGTCTGCAGAGCCTAAAGAAAAATGCCCTCTATGCCGAGAGGTGAGTAATTAACTTCTTTCTAATTGGAGTTTTGTAGAGCTGTAATCTTTTAGGACCTGGAGAATGAGCTGCATCGCTACAATCAAAATTATTGTTGCTCACTGTTTTGTGATTGTTCGTGTTGATTTCAGGCAAGAGTTTTTGAAGGCGCGGTGCATTTAGAAGAGCTTAACATGTTACTTAGCCGAAAGTATGCTTTTGCTCAGCATATTCTCACTAAGAATCCTTATGAGTAAATGATCATCCTATACATGCAATTTCTCATTCTTATTTATTCATGTTTTAACAGCTGCCGTGAATACTGGGAGCAGAGACTCCAGACCGAGAGGGTAGAGAGGGTTCGGCAAGCAAAGCAGCACTGGGAATCCCAGTGCCGGGCATTCATTGGTGCTTAGTCGCTGCCCCGCGGTTGGGGCTTTGTAACCCGCCAACTATTTTGTAGTTTGGAAAGCCATTAACTTCTTGTTTCTGGATGTTTAGCTTCTTGTAAGTAGCTTTTGAATAACATTATGTTCTTCAAAGTTTTGGGACTTAAACATTTGGTTCAAGTAAATTTCCATTTTTGGATTATGGTCAAGTGCATCCTGGCTCCTTGAACCTTGCTATAAAGTATCCGAGGGCGCGATTATAATTTGTAATGCTATTTGTATCATATTTATTGATCACTTTGCAGCCCACCTGTATATGATATCCAGCTACATCAGAATTTAGAGAGTCCAAATAGCGGCTCTATTATTTCAGGGGTGGGATCCTCTTTGGAATCCCATGCATGGCTTGGACGCATATCGTCTTGGAAAGCTTTTCTTCGTGGAGACCCGGGGAATTATGTTCAATTGCTTTCGGAGGTTGTGGTACCTGCAGTGAGAATTGCTGCTGTATATACTTGGCAGGCCAAGGACCCCGAACCAATGCTTCAGTTTTTGAAGTATTCGGAGAATTTGCCGCCCCATCGTGTTCTTGAAGCCATGTACGGTAGTCTTGCCTAAACTCAAGGATGCCGTTGATTTGTGGAACTGCGTGAAGACGCTATTCCTTTTCACGTGTGGCTGCGTCCATGGCCACCATACTTGGGACACAAGCTAGAGGAGTTCTGTCCCACCTAATTACATTTCAAGTTGAGTAATGTTCTTGGCGCATGGCACCGGAGCGATGGATCAACTTATACGGCTATCTCACCCTGGAAGAATGTGTTTGATTCTGCTAGCTGGGAACATCTTACACGTACATTTATAGTTCTGAAGTTGCAGCTTGTGCTCCAAGAAATCCAAGTTGCTTTCGAACCCCAACTCGAAGAGGTTTCAAATTAGCATAACGGTTGGAAGGAACTTATGCACGAGGAGCTTCACAGTTCACACTATTGAAATGAGCTTAAATGTGGTCTTGAAAGATGAGTACAAGAACATTGCAATGTTGATTTAATCTCCCTTAATCAATCTTGTTTATGATATATGCAAACTTATAAGATGATTTTATGTGGATATAAGAACAATAAAGTACACACGCCACACACAAACAAAGAATTTAGCCAGGTTCGGCGAACTTTGGCTACTTCTCATGTGATCTTTTTTGAGAAATCACCTGCACTGTGGAGAATAGCAACTCGGTTACAAGAACTTATTGAAAACTTATGCTAAACAACAAAACCTCACTTTAGATCTCTCTATCACTCTTGGCTTTCTACCCCTGTATTTTATATACTGTTCGTTTGAATAATCAGCCCCAACAAGCCTATTTTAGTAGATAGACCGATGGTTTCATGACTTATAAGTATAGGATTCCTGAATCCTTTTAGAATAGGAAAAACTAACTTATTTCCTAATCTTAAACTGATTGGGATTATAAAGAAGAACCTATTTCCCGATTGTATGGAAAAAAACCTGTGCACATTCCTTTTCTCTTTTCCCAACACCAATTGAAAACTTAAACCTAATTGGCCTTGATATTTTGACGATCCATATCACAACAATATACATTTTTGCTTCCGAAAATCACTTTAAGTCCATGAAACTCAATTATGGTCTCAATGTGTCGCCTGAAACTCAAAAGGTTTCAATTGACCCTCGGAGTATGTCATTAAATTATAGTAGTAGGGTGACGCGGCATTCATGCCGGAAGGATGCTGATGAGGTCGCCCGCCATGTAAGATCGAGCATATTCCTCAACGGGTCAATATCAAGGGATTTCTATCTTTATGCACATGATACCGTCTGCATAATTTCTCCAAAGTTGCGACAGAATGCTGCATTTTATTTAGTTTCGTATCCATGAACATTCTCTGCAAAAGCAACAAGAACCCACATTAAGGATAAGAAAGCGACCTTACGAACTTAAATTTCTGACATGACAAGAGCTTGTGCCACACCTGATAGCCATCGCCATACTCCTCAATGAGCCGACCAAGATGAAGACGCTGCATGGCCGTTAATGGTTGTAGTGGTGCAGATTTTCCATCTCTACGTTTCTTCCCTAGACTAGTTTTCAAATCTACATGGCCAAAGAAAGTCGTGTGATTAGAAATAGCAATGAACTCCAGAAATGATCTACATTTCAGTTTCCCAATTTGGAGAGAGAAGAAAATAAAAGAGCCAAGAAGCTCCGCAACAAATGCTATATGCAATTCAAAAGAGCAGTAGATCTACGAGTACTGGTTTTCACAAACTAACACAGCTCATTTCTTAGAGCGAACAACAAAAAATCTCCATCTTCGCAATCCAGTTAAGCCTCTACATTATTACATTCTAAGGGTCTTCATACAGCAGTCAACTACAGCATTATTACATTCTAAGGGTCTTTATACAGCAGTCAACTACAGCACCAATGAATGACCTTGTAGAAGTTTGTAAACCAACAAACTAGCCAGCTTAAAGAGGTTCCCACCAAAGCCAAACTTTTAGAGCTTATAGGCCGTTCAAAGTAAGAAACTGAAGTACGCAAACGACGAAGATAACTCAATACGGTGATTTCCATCCTATAAAATATAAGTATCTGAGCAATTAGATTATCAAGATTCAGCTTACTCAAATACTGATCTGGAGCAAGAACTTCAAGAAAGCACAACATAACTGAAATCCACAGACGAATCCAGCTTGGATATGAAAAACTTCGAAAAATGAATATGGAGGAGAATAGGCATGAGATTACAGGTTCCATCTGAATCTTTTACCTCCGTTGTTAGCCTGCTATTCTAAAGGTTACTACAACCATTTTTCCAGGAACTTTTGGATTCTGATAACCCAGTAGACGGTTTGGATTATTTACCAATTCCTAATTCGGAAACACGAATACTCCTCCTCAACCTCAAGTAGAAATCTTTATCCTAAAAATTCATTCTTTCAAATAAATCCATTTGTAATATGATTTCAATCAGTTATTCAATCAATATAGAACCTCAAATTACTCATTTTAGCAAAACAATCATAAATTCTCAATTCCTAATTCGAAAACAGAGTAGAGAGAGAGGGGGAGAGAGAACTCACCGTCCTCTTCGAGATCGCTGCCGTCGGCGAAATCGAGCTCTGCGGAGGCGTCAGGGTCATCGGAGGCCGGAGGGGGGACCTGGAGGGAATCGCTCTCGACCATGTGAGAATTGCGAGACCGGAGGCTGAGCAAGTTAGGGTTGGAGACGAAGCCGAAGGACTTGTAGTTTTGGATGACGGAGCCCTCGGCGTCCCATTGGGGGGCTGAGGCCGGCCCTTGCTGCGCCAGCAAGGCGCGGAGCTTCGGAGGGAGGCAGAAGGCGGGCTTGAATACGTTGGGCTTCCTCTTCGGCAGCCCCACGCGCACCTTCGTCCGCGACTGCTTGTACTTTCTTCTAGACCTTCCCATCTCTCTCTCCGCCGCTCTGCGAGTCTCTGTTTTACGGCGGGATGAAGGGTTTATGTTTCCCGGGGTTTTAGAGTAGCGAAGCTAACTCTGACCTAAACGCTCCGTTTTTTTATTCACGTTAGACGCTGCGTTTTGTAATGACCTCCTATTGCCTTGAAATTTTATTTTTATTTAAAACAAAGAGTTAATTAATGTTGAAAAGAGTATTCTATGAAATAAATGAAAAAGTTGCTCCCAAATTGTTTATAACATTTTTTTAGAAGTTTTAACGAAACACTCTTGATACTGTTCATTTTAACGAAAAATAACATTTTTACTCTAAAAAATCCCTCTTGCTACTATTCACTTACAATACATTTTTGTCATTTTGATTAAAACTCAAAAAATTTAAGTCATTTTCATTAGTTTTTTTTCTTTATAATGTTCTCACAAAAAAGTTTGCAAAAACTCAACGGTAGTATTTCTCACATAATTTACGAGCTAACACACATTATTTTTAGTTGATTCTAAAATTTTTTTCAAAATACATCGATTTCGTACCATTGTTGCATCATTTAGAAAATTTTCGATATTTTTCGGCCCTCAAAAGCCACTTCCAAGACATGCTAGTATTTTCTATCTCTTGATTTTTCTATTTTTCAACCTAATTTTTTTTTAAATACTTACAAAATAAAACAAACAATAAGAATGTTTCAAAATAATATACAACATTGAATGTTTCAAAATAACATACAACATTTTGCTTCCTTCGTGTGTATACGATAAAGTATCAGCCAAAGTTTTCGCAAAACCGTAAATTTATGTTAACTCACGATATTTGATCAATTTTTCCAATTTTTAGTAAACCCCATTTATAAAACGTGTCATTTTCGTCGTACAAAGACTCATCCTAATCCTGCCAACAAAAAGGACCCAACCAAGTAGAAACTGGAAACTGATGAGACTGCATCCACAAATTTTGAGTATCTGAAATTTCCAGGAACAATGTAATTAAATTTCTCAAGAAGCATCTTGATAAATCTTGTGCAACAAGAAAGTTTAAGCATGATTTTCTAATCAAATACATCCTAAACAGGCTACATAAATGAAGCTCGTAACCCTATCAAATTAGCTACTTCCTGCAGTGGTAGGCTACACTTGTTCTCGTTGTTCATCATTTGTTTTATTTTCTCGGAGAAAAATGATTAGAGCCGACGCCTTTTATGCTCCGGCTGTTGCTATTCTTCGAGGACAGATGCAAGCAGTGATTCTCTGGATAATTCGCAAGCGTAAATGGAATCACCGCCCGAAGCAACGATGATGAGGAAACGAGAGATGTAGAATTCCAATGCTGGTTATAGTCCTGATGACCGGTTGGCGTACTCCTGAACCAACGCACCGAACAGTGACGGTTTTTCAAGTAAGCGGGATGGTTTCTCAAATTCCTTAGCCAGTCCTGTTAAAGACGGAAACAGAAGAGTGTCAGCTACAATTTTCAGGTGGTAAACGAATGCCGGATGTGACAAGATATTAAGTTAGAGGGAGCGCTTACCTGCATCTACTACTAAAACTCGATTGCAGTCCATCACTGTAGGTATTCTGTGCGCAATGCTGATAATTGTACAGGCAGCGAAATCCTCCCGGATGATCCTTTGTATTACAGCATCGGTCTGTGAATCCACTGATGCAGTGGCCTCGTCCATGAACAAGAGCCGGCTGTGCTTTAACATAACTCGCCCCAAGCAGAGGAGTTGTCTTTGCCCCACGCTCCAATTGTCTCCGTTGTCAGCCACTATCGAGATAAAATTTTAATGAAAAATGGTCAGTACATAACCGTAGTGATCAAGTGTCAGTTTCAAGACGCGGAGAGTAAACAATGCGGAGAGCCACATACCTAAACAGTTAAGTTTTTCTGGTTTTGCAGCAACCACGTCTTTAAGTTGGCAGCGTTCGAGGCTCTACAAGAAAATTAAGATCATTGCAAATAGCATACAGCATTGTTTCAACTAAGCAAAATATGACATACAGACATTGTGTACAATTCAATCTTATTATTTTCGACGTAGCATTGTGTTTACCTTCCAAATCTGTTCATCTGAATACATTCCAATTGGATCAATGTTGCTTCTCACGGTTCCTTCAAAAAGGACAGGTTCTTGAGGAATGATCCCAAAGCGTGACCTAAGATCGTGAAGCCCTATCGTGGTTATATCGATCCCATCGATGATAATTCTGCCTCCTGAAGGTTCTACCAGCCTAAAGAACACTTGGATTAAAGTGGATTTCCCACTTCCTGTTCGACCAACAACGCCAATCTTCTCACCCCCGAAAATGTTTAGACTAATGCCTTTGAGAACCAAAGGTGTATTTGGACGATATCTGACCTGCTCACCACAAAGTATAAAATATCATCAAAAGGAACCGAGCCCTTTCAGCTTGAGACAAAGTAATGGTGATGACCAACTAAGGAAAACGCGCATTCAGACCGTTGAAGTTATAAACAGAACTGAAGACAAACTGACCTGCAAGTCTTTGAGCTCAACGTTGCCTCGGGAAGGCCAATTTGGAGGAGGAACACGGTCTACAATCTTCCACGCTGCTTCTGATGGAATGTTTGTAAACTGTTTTATCCTCTCAACCGACACCATCCTATTTTCAACGAAGCAGCTAAAATATATAGCCCAGAACAGCACACTATTAAGGGACAATCCGTAGGAGAGAGTTAAACCAACATTCTCTGCACCATAAAGGAAAAATCAGTTTAGTGAAATCTCTGCAATAGATACTCGTCTACTGTCGCTCGTTATGTTAGATATATCAAAACACGGTGCTAACATACACCTCAAATCTTGCTTATAACCGAGACTCAATCAGATGTTGTAATAATAATGCACTAAAACAAGAAGGATCGGGAGGGTTTAAATACCAGGCTTTATAATACTGCTTGGCAACAAGATCATGAATATAGTGGAAATGCAGAGAAGTAAACTCCCAAGTAACTCCAATCGGAAACCCAACCACTCATTGGAACCATTGTTGTGGAAATCCATGCGCAAGTTGGCATTAACTCGTTTAACATTTTCCTTGGAGAACATGTTTTGCATTCTGAAAGAGCGAATCGTCATGACCCCAGATATGCTCTCTGAGAAATGATGGATTACAGGAGCTTTCGTGATTGAATCGAGTCGAGTTAACTCTCGAGATGATGCAAGATAGTAACCCTAAAACAAAATAAGTACAAAAATCTTCAGTATTGAGTGCAACATTATAGTTACAGGTTACTGATAAATATTAACACCGTGACAAAATGAACGAACATACCCGGTACCAGACATTAAGCCAAGCAAGCGGAATCAGCAAGAACACAGTGGGCCACGAATATTGGCAAACAATGATAAAGATGCCAAACACAGTAAAAAACATGACAATGGTAATACCCAACATGAAGGGAAGAAGTAGATCGATATTCGTCTGATCAGTTGATGCCTGGTGGACAGAAAAATTCTCAGCAGTTAATAAATAGGACTACATATACATGAAATTAGAGTAAACAAATAACAGTCTTAACAGATATCTCATCAAGTATGACAAAAACGTACCCTACTCAGAATTCTTCCGGAAGGTGTAGTATCGAAAAACGACATGGGAGCATGCAGGATGCTGTGAAGAATTTGCTTGAAAAATGTTTGAGCTGTTTTAAGCCCCACAAACATCACAACAAGTGCTCTTATCAATACCGCAACGAATGCGACACATGCAATGAGCGCATAGACGATAATAAACACAGATGGTTTGAATGACGCCGCACGCTTTGCTGCAGTTTCATAAGACAGCCAGTAATCAGCCGCCATTTGAGACGCTTGCCACATCAGAGTCAATGACAATACTAACACCACACCCCACCATCCGTAAGCCTCTGTGCAATAGACTTTGTAAATGTGAAGGCTGACTTTGCCGGTTTCTTTCTCCTCTTCTTTGATGAGCTTAGAAGTCGCTTTATCAGACCTCAGCTGGTCCAAAGAGTTGTTTTCACCATTTCCTTCCCCGCGTTTTGAGGAGAGTTGCCGAGATATTTGATGTCCAGGGGAACTTTTGCTGGGATCAGCAGTGCTCATTTCTACAAGTTCCATGGAGGTATCGTGGGCAGCAACAAGCTCTTTGAAATCCAGGCCAGAGTTTAGCAAATCGTTATACTTTCCTGCCTGTACTATCATCCCATCTCTCATGACCTGATAAATATAAGTAGGAGGGATACATGAGCAAATTGCAATTATAATTTCTTCGAGAATGCATGAACAATTCTAAATACTTACCAAAATAAGATCAACATTATGCAAGAAGTCAACTTGATGAGTTACAAGTAAAACCGTCTTGTTTTTAAGTGCTCCCCTCACACATTCCTGCAGAAGGCCATAGACATTACAAGCATAAGCGCCATTTTAGATTACGAAGATCTAAACAAGAACGTTGTTTTTCCATTTTTCTTTCAACACCTTTTGATTACAAAGATCAAATCCGCCTTCTAAGCACTAACTTAAGTGTGAGCTAGACTATTCAATCACTGTGAAATCAAAAGTAAATCATTCTTTACTACCAAATGTAGAACAAAATATAAAGTAATGTCACCTTAAATATTTCTGATCCAGTATGAGCATCAACAGCACTGAAGACGTCATCGAGGAGATATATGTCACAATTTTGATACACAGCACGAGCAAGTTGAATCCTCTGTTTCTGGCCACCACTTAGGTTGATGCCACGCTCTCCTATCTCAGTTTGATCTCCGAACTCCATCATTTCCATGTCCTTTTCCAAGCAACAAACCTTGATTACTTCCCGGTATCTCTCTCTGTCCATTGGCAAACCAAATAGGATGTTTTCTTCAATGGTTCCGTTTTGAATCCATGACGTTTGAGCCACATAGGCAGTTGTCCCGCAAACTCGTACCTGTTTTCAAAGATTTTGTTAATTTAACAAAGTGATTGAATTGAAGCTTCAATGGAGCGATTTTACATCATAAGAGACATCTAGAAAATGGTCTAATGGTATCAGATTATACCTTTCCGGATAACTTG